TAACCTCTCTAAGTCTCGGCTTCCTCATCTGTCAGTAGGGACACAGAAATCAAAACGACAATGAGATGCTACTCATGCCCACTAGGTCGGCCAGAATAACAAGGGCGTGGAGAGACTGGAAGCAACCCTACATCACTGACGGGGATGTAAGTGGCACAGTTGTGGAAAATAACAGGGTGGCTCCCCAAGAAGTCACACACACAGTTAGTGTACAACTCAGCAATCCTACTCCTAGGTATAAATCCAAGACAACAGAAAACATTTGTCCATGCAAAGACTGGTACACAAATACTCATGGCAGTGTTATTCACGTTAGCCAAAAGGTGAGAACAGCTCAAATGTCTGTCCGTCAGCTGATGGATGGTGAAGCAAGGTGTGGCATCTCCATAGTCACAAGAAGGAGTGAAGTAAGCTGCACACACTGCAACATGAATGAACCTTGCGAATATGGTGCTGAGTGAAAGCAACCAGCTCTTAAACCACACGCTATGTGACTCAATTTATACAAAAGTCACTGAGTGGGTGGATGGGGGCTTGGGGGAGTTACAGCTGAAGAGTACTGGGTTTCTTTCTGAGGTGATGAAAATGTACTAAAATCGACTCTGGCCAATTTGGCTACATAACTCTGAGTATACTAAAAACCACTGAATTGTATATTCTAAATGGCTGAGTTGCATGGTATATGAATTTTCCCTCGATAAAGCTGTTTACAAAAGAGTCTTCCTACTCTTTGATGACCCAACGAACACAAACTCTTTTTTCTCTCCCCAGGCCAAACCAATGACTTTTTGATTTGCTTTATCATGAAACACAATTGTATAGCAAAGTGAATCCCAGCATTTAGAGGCTGAGACAGGAGGACTGCAAGTTCAAGGCCTGCCTGGGTTACATAGTGAGACCCTATCTCAAAACACCAAAAAAACTTATGTTAAAGCAAATGCCTGTGAGTTACCATCCTAGTCAAGGACTACAAAATTGGGCTGGTATGGTGGCATGTGGTTATAAACCCAGCACTGGGGAGGCTGATGCAGGAGGATCACAAGTCCAAGGCCTGCCTGGGCAACATAGAAAGACCCTGTCTCCAAAAACTACAAAGAAAAAAGTACCAGGAGCCCTCCAAACACTCCCCTTGTATTAGTCTGCTCCAGCTGCCATGACAAAGTGTCAGAGACTGGATGGCTTGAATAGCAGAAATGTATTTTTGCATAGTTCTGGAGGCTGGAAGTCTAAGATCAATGCAAGGGCAGATCTGTTTCCCCCCGAGGTCTCTCTCCTTGACTTACAAATAGCCATCTTCTCCCTGTGTTCTCACACGGACTTACCTGTGTGTGTGTCTATATCCTAATCTTGTCTTCACATAAGGACGCCAGTCACATTGGCCATCTTAGTGGCCTCATTTTAACTTAGTCATCGCTTTAAATACCCTATCTTAGCCAGGCCTGATTGTGCACATTTGTAATCCCAGCACTCAGGAGGCTGAGGCAGGCGGATCTCAAGTTGGAGGCCAGCCTGGGCTCCACAGTAAGACCCTGCCTCCAAACAACAACAGCAACAACAAAGCCTTGTGACATTGGGAGGTACCTAAATTCAGTACCTGAATTTAGAGAGTACACGACTCAGCTCATAAGAGCCCTCACGGTAGCACCCTTCTTCGTCCCCACCTGTATTCAACAGGAATTTGACTTTTAGAGCAACCACTAACTACTTGCTTTTCTTTACAGTTGAGCTATCTCTGAACAACAGTTTAATTTGGTCTGTTTCTGATCGTCGTACGAATAGAATATTCTGGCTTCTTCGCTTGCCATAAGATTCATCCATGCTGCTGTAGACATTTGAAGTTCACTCATTCCCACTGGACATTTTTTGCTTCTGTCACAAAGTGTCCTCACCACGGTCAGAATTTCTTACTAACTTGTACGAGGTCTTTGTGTATCCCAGAGGCCAGCCCTTGGCAGTGACGTGGGGACAGAGATGTCAGCCCTCCAGCTTGCCTACTCTTCACTGTCCTAATGATGGAACCCTGGAGTGAACAGAAGTTGTGGATTTCAAAGTCCTGCACTTTATCCGACTCCCGCAGCTCGCTTGCTGTCTTGATTGCAAGGCTCCTTCTCTCCCCATTCATGAAGCGCTATCTTCCGGAGCTGTGACTGTTTCTGTGTGTGCTTTCTGCCAGGGTTTTAATTTTATCTTTTAGTATGGCCCTCTAATTGTCTTAACTCTGTCACGTGTTTGCCCTTGCACAATGACACGTATCAGTGGACTGTGGACTGAGACTCTGCGTCCTAACCCCTGGAGGCAGCCGAGTGAGGCTCAGCCTCTCAGTTACTGAATACTTCTTCCAAGATGGGCTGCCTGGCCAGACCAGCGAAGGCACTTCCCAGCTGGGCTCCTTTCTACTTGTCCCCAGATCTAGGCTCAGTTTTGCTCTCCAGAATCTAATCAGCTCACTGGTGCTTTTAAATTATCTAGTCTGCCCGCCACTGTTGGAAAAGAAAGGCCAGTACACACACATCCTTCTTAAAAAATTCCCCTTTTATTCAGGAAGAACGTGCGTACAGTAAGCTGCACAGACCGTGGAGCTGAACTGTACACCGAGGTGCATTTTACATACGCACGCATCACCATTCAGTCCGACACAAAGGGTGCTTCCCGCATCCCCAAAGATTTCCTCTGGCCTTTCCAGACAGTGCTCCGCTGGCAACAACAGCCACAGCTTCCATCGTCATTGCTGTCTGTTTTGTGCTTCGTATAAATGAAATCGTGCAGCATGGATCCTTTTTGTGTCTTTTTTCTTTCTTGCAGTACTGGGGATTGAACTCAGGGCCTTGCAGGTGCTCTACCACTTGAGCCACGCCTGCAGCCCGCATGTGGCAGTTGTCATTGATCACTGTGTCTGCGGGATTTCCCCATGCTGTTGCACCCGCCTCTCGGGACAAACTTCTCGGCGTCGCACAGTATTCTACAGTATGAAGACAGCACGGCTTAGTTACCCTTCCCACTGCAGAGCATTGGTGGTGTCTGAGCTCTGGGCTGTTGTGCACAGTGCGTCCTGAGCATGTTGGCTGCATCATCTGCTGAGTGTGCACACTTCAGAATGGAATCACTGCACTGTAGGTACACAGATGTGTAGTTTGGGTGCTTTACTCTTGGCAGTACTGGGGTTTGAACTCAGAGCTTCACACTGGTAGGCAGGCGCTCAACTGCTTGAGCCATGCCTCCAGTCCTTTTTTGTTCTGGCTATTTTCCCAAGGCTTGCCTGGACTGCGACCCTCCTATTTTACACTTCTTCCCATTGCTGGGGTGGCAGGCATGCACCACAATGCCCTTCTTTTTTCTGTTGACATGGGGTTACACAAACATTTTTGCCAGGGCCAGCCTAGGACTGCAATCCTCCCAACCTCAGCATCCCTGTGTAGGATGGCAGGCACACACCACTGCCCAGGTTGAGATGGCTTCTCGGAACTTTTTGCTGGGGTTGGCCTTGGATTACGAGCTTCCTGATCTCAGCCTCTCAAGTAGCAAGGATTAGAGGTCCTTGCTTCTTTAATAAATGGCCGCATTTATTAAAACAAAATATTAGCAGGTAGAGCAGCAAGCTAATATTTTGTTTTAATAAATGCTACCAAGTAGCTTTTCAAGATGAATCTACCAATGTATGCTCTCACCAGTGGTGTGAGATGCTTATATCAATCCGACGTTCTTGCTTTGTAGTACATCTTCAATTTCCTTTCTAATTAAGAATGACTGTTAAGGTTTCTCCATTCTCTTGAGTCAATATCAGTATTAATATCAAACCCAGGGCCTGCGCATGCTAGGCAAGTGCTTACCACTGAGCTACATCCCAGTCCTTGATTTTGGAGACAAAGGCTCACTATGCAGCCAGGCTGGCCTGGAACCTCGGTCCTCCTGCCTCCACCTCCCAAGTCAGTGGTTTTTGTTTGATAAGTTAAATATGTGTAGAACTGAGTTCTTGACACAGATGTTACAAGCAGCTCCAACACAAGAGGATGCAAAAATATCATGGCAAGGGCTTAGAGGTGTGGCTCAAGTGGTACAGACCTGCCTAGAAAGTGCAAAGTCTGAGTTCAAAGCCCAATACTGCCAAAAGAAAAGAAAAGAAACTGTGGCTAGCCCAATATTTTTAAGCGCCATATTTCCACCTTCTGCTAATCTTCACGGCTGCAGTATCAGCTCTTTCTCGTGTAAACTAGCCAGGGTTTGGACACAGGACAAAAGCATCATCTTGCAATCAGAACTGTCAGATTTTGCCATCAACAGTGCCACAGTGTCACCACTGACATGCTTTTGTTTTTCAAAC